GGGAGGGGGTGTGGCTCCAGCCACTGCACGCACACTTGGAAGAGGCATAGTTTCTAGGGTTGGAAGGGACCTGAACAGATCATCAAGTCCAGCCCCCTGCCCTGGGCAGGAACGAGTGTTGGGATTATAATACCCCAGCCAGATATCTATCCGACCTCCTCTTGAAGACCCCCAAGGTAGGGGAGAGCACCACCTCCCTTGGGAGCCCATTCCAGAGCCTGGCAGCCCTAACTGTAAAGTAATGCCTCCTGATATCAAGCCTGAACCTGCTCTCAGTCAATTTGTGGCCATTATTCCTTGTTACCCCAGGTGGTGCCCAGGGGAACAGAGCCTCACCTATTTTCCACTGGTTCCCCCTGGTGAGTTTATAGATGGCCACCAGATCCCCTCTCAGTCTTCTCTTGTGGAGGCTGAATAGATTCAGGCTCTTTAGTCTATCTTCGTAGGGCCTGGTCTGCTGCCCCTTGACCATGCGAGTTGCCCCCCTCTGGCCCCTCTTAAGGTTAGTCACATCCGTCTTGAAGTGTGGTGCCCAGAACCGGACACAGATGCATCATGGGGGCCCGTGCCTCTGGGATCTGTGTGCGGGACAAGGGCGGGATGCCGCTGGAGACTGGGACTGGGGGCAATTCTGGGCTCTTCCCGGTGGGTGGGAGGGGTGGGCTAGGAATCCATTCAGGGAAGGCAGTGCTGGAATGGGGGAGCTATGGGTTGGACTACAGCCACCCCAAAATTCACTGTAGGGCCCCCAAACCCACCCATCCCATCACTACTGCCTGTGCTGAGCACAGCCCTGGCCCAGCCCCACTCCGAGAAGAGCCTGGCACTGCCCCTGGCCCAAGCCTGCAGTGGCAGCCCACCTTTGCCCCATGCACAGATCTGGGGGGCACATGCTCCCCATGCCTCCCCCGGCAGGGGGGACAGTGTATGCCTGCTGCTGGAGTGGGCCTGGGTAGGAACACTGTCCCCCTGCCCCGCAGCAGAGAGCTCCTGGCTCAAGCTCCCTGATCGGGGTCAGGAGGCTTAGAAAGAGCTGCAGGGGAGGGGCAGGTCCCAGCCCCCTGCCCTGACCTGCTAGTGGGGCAGCTAGCAGCAAGTCCCTGGATGGGTGGGGATTCCCCACTCAGCCAGGGGCTCGCTGTAAGCTGCCCAACCAGTGGATAGGGGAGGGGGCTGAGTCCTGCTCCTCCCCTGCAGCTCTTTCCAAGCCCCAGTCCTCAATCACCCAATCAGAGCATGGGGCTGGGACTGTCTGAAACTGGACAGTCCCCATCCACCTCCAGGCCGCATGTGCAGACTTCCCTGCGTGGCCCAAGGGTGGCCAGGACTGTCCCGAACAGGGGCAGGTCCCAGCCTGCTCCAGGCCAGGCAGGGAACTCTCTTGGTGCAGGGAGCTCCCAGCCCTAGCTCTGAGATTGTGGAGTGGGGGCTGGGGACAGGCTGGGGAGATTGTTCCCAGCTCTGTGATCAGTGATCACTGGATCTGGGAACAAAGCAGTTGTGGAGTGGGGGCTGGGAGCTCCCTGCTGCTGGGGAAGGGAGACATTGTCCCTACCTGGACTCCAGTGGCAGAGCCTGCATCAACAGCGGACAGCTCCCAGGGGCAGAGAGCAGTCTCCCACCCTCTGCTGCTTGGCTGTCCAGGAGCAGATTGCTCCAGGGCGACAGTCTGCATGTTCTTTACTGCGCAGTAATTACTCCTGAGTAAATTTGCTACTTGTATTTACAAGTTTCAAATTTACTCCATGATTGGGGTAAATTAGACAATGACACAACACAGTAATTCGCTCTACTGCACAGTAAAGCGTCTCGTGTAGACGTGCCCCCTATGTATTAACTTAGTGAAGTAATTTGGAATCATTCAGAAAAAAGAAATAGATCAATTAAAAATAAGTATGACCTGTTATAGAAGTGTCTTGTTAAAACTGTGATACAGCAAGTAAACTATTACATCACAGAAAATTGTCTACTACAGTCATGTAACTGGGTTCTGTAGTTTACACATGTGCTAAGAAGGACATACTAAATACTTAATGATAGAGTAAAAATTACTACCTTATCAGTATATACCAAATAGTCTGGAATGGCTATATTTAATGAATTATCAAACTGGTTTATAATAAAAAATACTTAGTGGGTGTGTCTACATGTTCATAAATGCACAGTAACTTACTGATCATTAAATTTAGTCCTTGTATAAGCAAGTACTAAATAAATGTGCAGTAGTAACTAGAGTTACTGCCCAGTACCACTAGTGAATGCCTTTTTAGTGATGGTACTGCACAGTAGCCTAATAATACTGCACGGTATTGTATTAGCACTGTGCTGTTAGGCTACTGTGCAGTTAGCGTCTCATGTAGTTGTGCCCAGTGATAACCATAAGTGTTTAAGAATTTTCAGCTGAATTGTCTATAAAGTTTAAAGATGGAAAACTTGAACTTCATTCTGACAATCAGTTTGGTTTATTGTAGGGTGTAAACCACCGGCTGCGGGGAAGCTTGACAGCTATTAAAACCAGAGCGCCTCAATTGGGAGGTAATTACAGCTTTGTACACTTGTTATTTGTAAGTCTTTTTTTCACTTTTAAAAAGGAAGCTTCACAGGAACTAAATAGCTCAAAGGCTTTGAGTGAGGTTCAAAAACTTTATAACAACAATAGTTATGATCTGAAGTGTATTTTGTGAAAGGAGTTGATGGTTTTAGTCTAGTTTGATTTTTTTGAGGCAGAGGAGTTAGTATCTGCTATAAAATCTGCCACCCATAGTTTGGTATTTTGATGATGATCTTAGTCCAAGTTTTAGTCAAAACACAGCTTCAACAACCTGCCATGCTTAAGAATGATTCTGAAGTTGACTACACATGAAGTGATGTCCCTTACTTCATTAATTCTATTCTAAAAGTTGACTGAGTGGTTTGGGTGACTATTTTGAAAAGGAAAAAAAAAGAAGAGATGGTGACTAGACACTGCAAGAAAATGCATTAAGTGCAGCAGGAGTGTATTTGGTAGCCGTGTTGGTCTGAGACAACAACACGGCTACCAAGTACATTCCTAAAACATGGAAGATGCCGAACTTTAGCCGATTTTTGGATTTTAAAATTCATTGCAGAACAGCAAGAAAGATTTTTTTTTTATCTCCCTGCCTGCCATCTGACACCTCCACATAAGGAATTCTACCTGATCTAGACATCAAAGAGCTACTCAGCACAGTTCATAAAGAGACTCTCATGGACCCAGAGGGACAGCCTTCCGTTTTCAGCTCCCTCTGTGCAAAAATGAAGATTATTTCCTACCTATGGAGACTTTTTACCATCTTGTACCATCTATACTTTTCCCAGAGCCTGACAAAGGAACTTTGATCCCGAAAGCTTGCAGAAAAGGATGGTTTTCTTGCGATTTCCCAGTTGGTCTAATAAAAAGTATCATTTTGAAACCAAGAGTTCTAGTTTTTTGTATGCCTTAAGTGCAGCAGGACTCCTTGAAGAGCAGATAAATTCTTGTTGCCTCCTGAAGAAGCACATGCTGTTGCTGCTTCATTATACCTATATTAAAATTGAGGACTTCAGTCTCCATGTTTTTTTCTTTTTAGTGTTAAGCTTTCACAGGGATAGAAGCACTCTGAGGGCTGCATTTATTCTGCCAAGTACTGGTTTCTGAAAATAAATACTTCTCACCAAGTTAATAAACTACACTTTCATTAGGTTGGAATTTATGTTTGCTTTTTGTAGGGGATTGTTGTTGTTAATGGTAATACTACTACTACTAATAATATTTGATGTGTTAGCCTTCTGGCAACCTTATCACTTGCATTTTGCTAGTATGGGTGGACCATACAGACCAATCATGATACTATGGACAGGTGCTAAATGTATTTTGGAAATGTCACAAGCAAGACTGGGCTAAGATTCCTTTAGATCATTGTCTTAATGATGGTTGCATTAATAGATGTAAAGCCTTGTTGTTTACTATAAGCTTTCTGTAAAGTTACTCTGATCAATAAACTTTAGTGTACAAAAATATACTTTAGTGGGCAAAAATACTGGTAGGCCTCTTATTATAAACTACAACACATGTTTGTAATATGGCTGTACTATAATCTGGTGCGTGTTAGTAATGTATCTAAAAGTTTTTTGTTTTTTGTTTTTCAAATAGGGAGCTTTGCAGTCTGGGGTGGTCTCTTCTCCATGATTGACTGCAGTATGGTGCAGGTGAGGGGTAAAGAAGATCCATGGAACTCTATCACAAGTGGTGCCTTAACTGGAGCCATATTAGCTTCAAGAAGTAAGAAACCACATTCTGGGGTTATTGACCATCTTTTAACGTTTAAATTATATACACGTTTATTAAACTGACAGCATCACTGACATGATTGGACTTGGGAAGGATTTTATTTTTTATAATTTTTGTTTCCTGTGTGCTTAAAGTAACAGATCTTTCCAATTTTTATTTTAGGAATGTTACTGTTTTTATAATTATCTTGACATGTCCAGTGTGGCATCCGACATATATTTGAATGGTTAAACAATTTCTAATATGATAGATTAGAGTTTACTTTAAAACTACAATACAGCATTTAGGCCTGGAATTCAGGAAATATTGACGTTATTGGGACTTCTGTAACTATTCTCCTGAATGGGGCCTCACATGGAATTTTCAAGTAAAGCAGTTGGACTTCTCAGTAATGTTCTGCTGAGCATACGTACTTGAGTAGCACGGTATAATTGAGAAGTTGCTTAGGGACACTATGGAAATGCTAATTTGATTTGTTTGATTAAACATAGATAGTTTTATACTTGTTAAAAGTCAGTTTATTTTTAATATCCTAAATGCCACTAAATATTAGACTGTTTCAGAATGGTTTAAATGTCTGTGTGCTGGATAATTGAGTTAAATGTGTCCACAAGTGATAATTAGGACTTCCACCCATTGTTAGCTGCAGTACAGAGCCTAGAGACTGAACAATGCTGCTTCGTCATTATTGAAGACTTTTTTGTGAATCTTTTATCAAGTCCATTAGGCTTTTTTCAGCAAGCTTTGAAGCACATATTTAAATGCTTTGTTGAATGGGGATAGATTTAAGCATATGCTGGAGTTTTTGCTGAATGGAGGTCCTAAAAGGGGATAAATGGCTGTGATCAGATAGTCTCAGTAATATGAAGAATTACTGGTTAGTGGTAAGGAGGAAGACTTAAGGGTTTATTATTCATACGAACACAAAAAGTGCTATACTGGGTCAGACCAGTAGTTCATCTAGCCTGGTATCCTGCCTCCGATGGTGGCAGAAGTGGATGCTATACAGGGAGAGCACTGAATTGGGCATCCCTAGAATGATCTATCCCTTATTCAGTACCCTCTCTGGCACCCACAATTATTGGTTTAGAAATGCCAAAGGAAACATCTCCGACCATTCTGATCAATAGCCATTAATCGATCTATCATCCAGGAATTTATTCAGTCCCTTTTTTAACCTGGCTATGTTATCTGCCTCCACCACCTCCTGTGGCAATGAATTTACAAGTTAACTACACAATGCATAGAAAGTTCTTTCTCTTGTTAGTTTTAAACCTGTTACTTAGTTATTTCAGTGGGTGCCCGCTAGTTCTAGTATTCTGGGACTTGGTGAAGGATAGTTCCCTGTTTCCTTGGCCCACATCCTTCATGATTCTATCATATACCCCCTTCAGCCTTCTCCTTTCCAAACTAAAGTCTTAGCCTTTTTAGTCCCTCCCGATCTCATAACTATTTATTTTGACTGCCCTTTTCTGTACCTTTTCTAATTCTACCACATCCTTTTTTGAGATGTGGGGACCAGAACTGCAGAGTTTTCAAGATGAGGTGCACCATGGATTTATATAATGGCATGTTGATATTCTCCTTTTTGTTTTCTATTCCATTCTTGATGCTGCCCAACATTTTATTGCCTTTGCTGCTGCTACTGCTGCTGCTGCGGTGACCTGGCGTTTTTAGAGAATTGTCAACAGTGACTCCAAGCTATCTTTCCTGAGTCATAAATAACAGCTAATTCAGAACCCAGCATAGTTTGTATAGCTGAGGTTATTTTTCGCCAGGTATATTACCCTGCATGTGTCGACACTGATGTTTATCTGCCGTTTTTTGCCTGGTCACTGAACTTAATGAGATTTTTGCAGGTCTTCTCCATCAGTGTGGGATCTGTCTACCCAGAATAATTTGGTGTCATCTGCAAACAGAGAGTTCACTATGCACCTCCAAAATGTTGAACAAAATGGTGCCCAGCACAGATAAGCCTTTGGTGATGGATCTTGTTTGAATGTCTTTTGAAAGTCCAAATATATTATCAACTGGGTTCCCTTTGTCCACGTGCTTGTTAACATTCAAACTTAGCAGATTTGTGAGGCAGGATTTCTCTTTACAAAACCATGTAGATCATTTGCCCATGTGGCTTCTGATTTTACTCTTTATTATAGATTCTATTACCAACTTATCAGGGATGGAAATGAAACTCAATGGTCTGTAGTCCCCAGGATTGCCTCTGGCACCCTTTTCAAAGATGGCTGTTACATTGGCAATCTGCCAGTCCTCCGGTACAGAGGCTTGTAACCATAGATTATGTTGAATGCTATCTGGTCCTATTGTCTTACTAGTATTTAGTTTACCAGTGGGCATGCCTACATGAGACACTTACTGCACAATAGCTTGATAACACTGTGCAGTAGCATGCCAGTCAAAAACTGTGCTAATATGCTCTTGCGCAGTGTTCTTAGGCTGCTGAGCAGTAAGCATCAAAAAAAAAAGTGTGCCAACGCTACTGCGCTGTAGCATTAATAAACATGTAGATGCACCGAGTTTGTCTCTCTTGTCACTTCAGTGTGGTCCAACTCTTCTGACCCATCTACTCAAAAGGATTGATCTGGCACCTGGCATGAGAATTTTCCTGGTATCTTCTGCAGTAAAAACCGATGCAAAGAATTTGTTTAACTTCTCTGCTCTGACGTTATCATCCCTGGATGCATCTTTCACATCATCATCTAATGGTCCCATTGATTCACTAGCTGGCTTCCTAGTTCTGCTATATTTATTATTAACTTTAGCATCTTTTGCTAGATGCTAAAAGAGAATTTGAAGAGCCTGCCTCATTTTGCTTTTTCACTTGACCAGAATTTGTGATTCTTCCCATTTTCCTCATTTGGGCACACCTTCCTTTTTTTATTTTTTGAAAGATGCTTTTTTGCCTTGAATAGCCGCCTTTACTCTGCTTTTAAAAAATGTAGGGGTTTTACTGGTCTTTTTGGTACCCTTTTTGGTTTATGGTTTATATTTTTCCTGAGATTCTAATATGATATTTTTAAACAGTTTCCAAACTGCCCACAGGCTTTTTACATTTTTGACTGTTTCACTGAACTTCTTTCTAACTTCCCTCCTCATTTATGTAATTTCCCTTCCTAAAGTTGTATATTGGCATGGTGGACTTCTTTGGCTTACTCCTTCCTGCCAGAACGTTAAATTAAATTGTTATGGTTGCTATTACAAATGACTCGCCAACATGTGCCACTTGATCCAGGTCCTGCATGTTACTCAGGATTAGGTCTAGAATTGGTTCTCCTCTTGTGGGTGCCAAAATGGCTTGTTCTATAAAACAGTCATTTATCACATCCAGAAATTTTATTTCCACATCTCACCCTGATGAGGTAATTGTGAGGATGGCTGAAGTCCCCTTTTGTTATTGTTTCATTTTAGCAGCTTCTGTAATCTCTCTGAGTATTTCCTAATCATCGTCACGTTCCTGATCAGGTAGGCAGTAGTACAAGCCTAATACTATAATCTTTTCATTCAAGTATGGAATTTCTACCCACAGGGGTTCTATGGTTTTCCTTTCAGGTAAGATTTTTATACTAGTCCTATCTATACTATCCTTAACGTGGAGTGCCACTTCTCCACCTGTACATTCTACTCTGTCACTTCTGTATAGTTTGTAACCTGTTAGAACAGTATCCCATTGACCTTCCACCAAGTCTCTGAGATGCCTATTATGTCAAAGTCACCATTTAATACCAGACATTCTAGTTCACCCCTCTTATATTTTAGGCTTCTGGCTTTTCTGGCTTACAGAAGCACTTATAAATTTTGCCCTTGCCTGTTACCACTTGTGCTGTTTGTTTGGAACTCTGGATGTTCTGAGTCATCCTCACTGGACGCATTTACATGTATGATTAATGCGCACACAGGTAAGCCCTGGAGTTTTTTGCTCCCAGGCGGCACACTGTTCGAATATGCACCTGGGAGCAAAATCCCTGGAGCATATTGCTCTGGAGTTTGTTCATGTGCAGCACATGGAGCCTGGTCAGAACAGTGTGGGCTGACAGGGGACCAGGGGAGTCAGGTTGCCAGCCAAGGGCTGCTGTAACAGGCCTCCATTTGCTGTGGAGGGACTGGCACCCTCATGCCTCAGCTCTGCAGTATGTGAGCCCCATCAGAGCAGCCCTGGGCTGGCTGCTTCACTGAGGCTTCATGTGCTGTGGAGCAGCTGACTGAGGCATAAGGGTGCTTCAGCATGGGAGCTGTCTGTCGGCTAGCCCCATGCTGAAGCATCCTCATGCCTCAGCCAGTCCCCCTGGTCCCCCTGACCTGGGTTCCTTGCCAGCCCAGGGCTGCTCCAACCAGGCTCCATGTGCTGCAGAGGGGCTGGATGAAGCATGAGGGTCCTTCAGCATGGAGGCTGTTGTTGCCTCAGCCAGCCCCTCCGCAACACATGGAGCCCAGTTGGAGCAATCCTGGGGTGGCAGGCTGACCCCCTGGGTCCCCTGCCAGCTCAGGGCTGCTTCAGCTGGACTCCATGTGCTGTGGGGGGGCTGGCTGGGGCTTAGGGTGCTTCAGTGCAGGGGCTGCCTGCTGGCTAGCCATGGACTGAAGCATGCTTGTGACCCAGCCAGCCCCATCACCTTCTACATGTGTGCTACAGTGCATGAAACAATGCCACAGAGTAGTACTTGCATTTAGCTGGACTACCTTGCAGCAGCATTTATTAGTCTACTGCAACCTAGTAAGGCCACATGTGTAAATGGTGATGTTTTACTACAAAGGTAATTAATCAGCTCTAGAGTAAATATCTTGTGTAGACGTGCCCACTATTATCTACAGTTATACTTCTTACGCCCTTACTATCCTCCTCAAGACTATATAGAATCTGAATGATATCCCCCTTTGGAGTTGTCAGCGTGACCTGTGTGCCATTCCACACTTGTTGGCTTTCCTCCACTTTTTAGCTTAAACACCACACTGCAACATTTTAAATTTTTAGTGCCAGGAGTCTAGTTTTGTTTTGGTTCAGTTAGGACCTGTCTTTTCTGTAGAGATTCCTCCTGTCCCAAAAAAATTCCCCAGTTCTTGATAAATTTAAACCTCTTCTGCCTGCCACCATCATCTTATCCATGCATTGAGACTCTGAAGCTCTGCTTGTCTTCCTAGCCCTGTGTGTGAAACAGGAAGCATTTCAGAGAATACTACAGTGGAAGTCCTGGACTTTAAATTCAGGCTGCTAGGCAGGGGTTTAATCTCAGAAAGTACTTTAAATGTTACTGATGGAAGATGCCAGAGAAAAGCAAAGTAAAATGACTATGCTCATAATACCAGTTCTGCTTTGTTGTATTAGGGCAAGGCTTGTGTGGTAATTGTAACTTTTTGTGATATTAATGAATGCTTAGCAGCTGAGATCTGTCTCTACATAGTCTGAACACTGAAGAGGTGGTAATTCTATGCAAAATGGATAATCTGCCAGACTTGAACAAAAGAGGTTTTGAAAGGCAACCTGTTTTGTATTCTGACATTTTTGTAGATGGACCAGTTGCCATGGTTGGGTCTGCTGCAATGGGAGGAATTCTTCTAGCTTTAATTGAAGGAGCTGGTATCCTATTGACAAGATTTGCATCCACACAATTTCCAAATGGTAAGGATTCCACACTTCAGATTTGAGTGTTACAAAGTATTTACAACATTTTTGAAAATGCCAGCACTTAAGGATGACAATTTATAGGGAATGGAAAGCCAGATACCTCTCTTTGAAATATCAGGAAATGCCAGATCATTTTCTAGGATGTCTTTGAAGTTCGAGTCCTCTTCGTTTTATATCTGTCATCCATTCAAGTGTGTATAGTTCAGTTATTGTAATTAGAAATGCTATAGGAGTACATTTGACTGCTCTCATACCCTTTTCCTACATTTTATATCTTTGTTTTTTCTTTTTCCACGTTATTTCATACATTTAGGTCTGCAGAACAGATTTCCCAGAATAGAAAAATCATGTCACAAATGGTGTTTTGCCTCTCTCCTCTGATGCCATTGGCTAATTTCAACAAGTATCAAACAATGCAGATGAAGTTGGTAGATATTAAAATGATACAGAACAAATGCCATATTGGGTAATATAGCTCACATACAACCATTTCTGTATCTTGTAAGAAGAGTGTAACATGGTAGCTGTTACAGGCTTTTTGCATAACTGGTAAACATCAATATGATTCTTGAAAGCGAAAATTGACTCAGCAATTTTAGTTCTTACTACTGTACTGCTTTTGGTGCTGTTATTTTGCCTGTGTTTGAGTGAGTTCACACTCTGCCAGCTGCTGGGAGAAGTTGCTGTGTGGCAAAAAGCCAACTGACAAACAGAATTGCTAAAGTGGGAGCAGCTCAGAGGCCAGAATTAAAAGCTATTTCCAAATTCTGTAGTTTGGGTGGGAGGTGAAGAGTCTCCATTATGCTCAGGAAAGAGCTGACAGGGTTAGATGTGTTTTTCTTCTGTTGACATGCATATCGGGGACTTTAACATCGGGGGTGTAAAGGCACAATGGTAAAGTGCTGCATTTTAAGTAGGACCCAGATCAACTCTGGGAATCCTAAGAGGGGAGAAGGGGCTAAGGCAGTGCTTCCCAACCTTTTCCTCAGCATGACCCCATTTAAGCATTGGAAATGTTTTGTGACCCCAAAATGATACAGACAAGATCAACACCCCTCCCTATTCCTCACAGCAAGCCAGAGCGGAGCCCATGGGTAGGGGATAGGGAGAAGCAGCTCAGGGCTCCCTGCCCTGCTGCCTTCCCCCTGGGGGTCTCCGAGGCCCACTGGGTGGGAGGGCAGCAGGGTAAGGAGCCCTGAGACTGCAGCAGGCAGCCTGTACCCCACACATCTGGGGGGCATGCTCCCCCATGCCTCCCTCCCTTGGGAGTGTGCGTGCATAGCCTTCCCCCTACTCCTTTTGGAGGAGCTGCCCATGGCTCCATCCTGCTGTCCCAGCCCTTCCCCTCCTTCCTCCCTCTCACACTGTGGGGCCTCAATCTGCCCCTGCCCCCCCATAAACTTGCCTGGAGGTAGCTGTAGGAGCTGCTCTCCATGCTGCCAGGCTGCCGTATGCATGTGTGCACGCAGACATGCATGTGGCACCTCCTTCCAGATCATCCTCTTCCCAGGCAGCCCCTTGCAGGCTGGAATTCTGCCAGCCTGCAAGGGGAACCCACCATTTCCCGCTTTTTTTCTGTGATTTTCATCATCATCATCAACACTGTTGAGTGTCTTTGCAAACCCATTTTTTATTATTGCAAGCCCAAATCGGGTTGTGACTCCAAGGTTGGGACCTGCTGACCTAAGCTGTTCATTCCAGGAGTCAGTGCTGACGTGCATGGTTTTACTAGGTCAGATATCCCAATTTAGTTTTCCTGCCAGCAGCCCAGAAAGGAGTTGTACTTCTTTGGTGGTAAAAAATGTAAATGTTTAGTTAACAAGAAGCCATGTACACTTCCAAGAACATGAAGACTTAAGAGTCAGAACGCAAGTGCTACTGAGCAGTGGTTTTCTTTTTCTGTTCTGTCACTTCAGACATTTAAGCTTTGGCCTGACACAGGCAGCAGTTTGTTCTGAAGTCTAAAGACCATCTTTCATACTAAGCAGATGTAGAAATAACCATTTTAGGTTAAGTTTTGGGAATAGCATGTGATGGTCCCTAATCTCGGTTTCAGTGATTTATAGAAAATCAGATTGCATGCCAAAATTGAATAATGTATGATTGCATGCCAACATTTATCCGATTGCGTTTCAACATTAAATAACATATGAAGATTCCTACTTTATGCCTGATGCACGCCTATGATGTATTTGACCTGTATTTTTGTATTTGCATCACTTTTCAGAGGAAGAATAATCTGTTTGTTTTAAAACAGAGGTACTAGTAATCAAGGAACATTGCCTTCATTAACATTTCCTCTTGACATTATCTCTGTCTGCCTCATCTGTAAATGAGGATAATTTTTATAATATTGCAAGGCCAATTAACTATATATACAGAAAGGACCTTACGGTTTTGTAACTATGCTAGTTAGAGACTGCCCCCTTTTTAATGCAGGTCTGAGACGCTGGTTCACCATATCTGAAACCAACTTGCATGGAATAGCTGCTCTAAACTTGGTTTGGATCTGTGCAAAACATGCTTAATTATCTGGCTGCTGTCCTTGGAAGCTAACCATGCACTGGCCTTACCTGCGGCTCAGGATAACTCGTGGTTGTAACACTGTTCTGCTGTGTAAATGGAATTTTTCATCTGTGCTTTTTACTGTTTAGGTAGGTTTCCTAATTATCTTTTCCTCATTCTTTTCCTAGCAGTAGGAAATCCTATATTGCCACAGGGTAGGGCAGTGATTCTCAATCTTTAGACAAAAGGGAACCCTTGTTAGATTTGGGGTATCCCTCTGAAAATACCAGCTCTTAGCTTTCACTTTTTTTTCTTTTTTGACTATAGTAAAATAATAGAGCAATTCTTCTGTTGCAAAGACTTCAGAGTACAATGGGTCAGAATATTTTTGACACTATGGATTCTTATTTGAAATATCTGGGTTTATCTTGTGAATCATGTGTAGGTGGTTGTACACTAAACAGTGCTGATATTGTGCAGCACCCATAAAAGGATCTTGTAGCACTCTGGCTGAGAATCAGTTATCCAAGTGTATGTCTACATGGGACAAGGCAGCAGCCCCATGGGGCAGAGTACCACTGACAGTATTCTTTGTGCATGTTATTTGAACTCTATATTGTCTAATGAGGCAGTATGAGATCAAGTGCACAGACCTCCCCAGAATGCACTGAGACTAAGAGATAGCACGATTGCTGTGACCAGAGAGATGGCCGATATAGAGTTGTGTTGTGTCCATACAGCTTTTTCCTTTAACAAAAAAAAAAGTGTGTTCTTATACAAATGCTCTTTTACCTACTGTGTATCATGGATCTAAATAACACATCTAGGTAAAAATAAAAATGTTTTTGTTAGCTTATTTTCTTAGCATTCCTGGAACATGAAGTAAGCCAGTACCTGATGGACCCATTATTTCAGTCCTATTCAATGACATTCTTCGTTTATTTAATTGCAATAGCTCTTCCTTTTTGACAAAGAAATGTGCTTCTAAATCCAGTGTAAGGTACCCACGAAGGAGTGTTCTATATGTTGCAACTTGTGAAGCAGGTGACTCGTTTAAAAAAAAGTGCATCTGGAGAGAGTGGAGTCTTGGAGGTCAGGACTTGAGGCTCCTTTAGTTGTTCCACTCCACTGGTTTGCTCTGGAATTGGGCAAGTCACTTTATGTAAAACTTACATGAGTGCCAAAATTGTATTGAAAGATTTAGACCCTGTTTGCATTACAGACTGCGTTGTATAGCTGTGCAGGCAGTGGAGATGTGGCAAACAAAGTTACTCTGCCGATATATAGTATAGTTATAGCATCTTCCTCACTTAGGTTTTGCTAAACCTTTGTTTGTCAACATAGCTGTGTTCGCACCCTCAGTTTTGGCAGTGTAGTTATCTTGGCTTGAGCATGTGATCTTTTCACATCCCAGGTCAGTAGAACTCTGATGTAGACTAGACCTCGGGCTCCAAGTCACTTATGTGACTGGAAATTTTACCTTTCACTTTTCTGTGTCTCTGTTCCCCCATTTGTAAAATAGGGATGAAACCATTCATTGCAGGAAGGGTTATTTTATTTATTGAGGTGGAAAACTTTTGAGCTTCCTTGAATGACAAACTGTAAATACAAAGCCTTTATTTTTAGCATTGCTAATCCAGAAAGGATTTCTATAAACAGATCACACGTTTGTAGGACACTGAGGTATTAAAGGTCTCTTTTAAATGTATTAATTATTTTCTCTTATTTACAGGCCCTCAGTTTTCAGATGATGCTTCCCAATTATCACCTTCCCCATTTGGTGACTACAGGCAATATCAGTGATTACCATTACTCTGTTTCATGTTATACACTCGAGCTATAATTATAAATACTGGAAGATCAAGATACAATTTAACACCTTCAATTGGAAATATGTGGCAGATCTCTTTGTACAAACCATGGCAAGAGGACACTTGGCACTTTTTCACTGTAAAGATGAACAGAGAAGCTTTAGAAGATCATAAATGTATTTATTCATATAAGTTCATTGTTATAATGCTGATACATTGCTGATACGAGACATCAAGGTTTAAGACAAGAACCAAGCAGAATACTATAATGCTTTGGATAAGGAACTAGATGAATTTTGCTGTGGTCTTTTCTGAAATGTGGTATTAACCATTACTGTAGTCATCAACAATAAAAACATCTGACATTTAACCTCTGTACTCAGTGTGTATCACATGCAGGTCACAGTACTGAGCATTTCAGTTTAAGACAACTCATTCATTTACCTGTGTTGTAATTAGTACTCCAGAGGTCAGTACTTTTGGAAGAATATTGTATGAGCCAAGGAAGTTTATTTTTCTACAATATATTTTCCATTCTTGTCCTTTGTTCCACGTGTATCTCCGTACTCCCCAGTGGTAAGTAACATACCTTTGTTATAGATCTACGTGATGTAGCATGTCTTGATTTTTGGCTCAGTCTTTGTGGGGGTGTAACTTCTAGTGCAAGGCTCTGGGCTTCCACATTCTACCAAAGGCAGTCCTATGGTTCTGCTGTTCCAAGCCTGTGGTCTTGGCTGCAGTACCACTTTTTCCTAGTGTTTCGTTCATTTGGTTTAAAATAAATTACTATCTGTTAGAGACTTATTTTCTTGAGTGATACAGTTTGCAGAAGATTGCAGGAACCCAGGACAACTTTTCAGAGCAACACAGCTTTTATTAATCAACTACAATACAGTACATGGGTCTTCAGGTTTGACTAGAAAAGCTTAGTCTAGGTGCATCTATGTGCTGGCAGCACAACCTGCATGTCTTGCCCAAGCTTCTAGAATTCATTTGCCTGAGTACCCTAGGAAGCATCACAATCCATCCAACACCACCATTCTTTTGTTTCAAACTCCAGCTGTGCAGCTTGACTCTTGTCCTATGTTGACAATTAATATTCCTCCTAGTGTTGTGCTGCCTCAGTGACTTCTGTTGATTGGTGTCATTACTGTTTGTCCAAGAAAATAAAGTGAGCCCTTCACATCCAGTGAGTAACCATATAAAGGAGTGCAAAAATAGTCAAGTGTTCCAGTAGGCGTGATTTGGTGAAAACATTTAAAGTAGTTTTAAGGACGGGAGTGTAAGTTCATGAATGAGAGTCAATATTGTATCGTCTGCAGTCGGATTTGATAACCTCCCAGTCTCCTGTCCTATGTTTCCATAAAAACGCAGACATCTTATCTCCACAAAGTTGCTTACAACAGCGTCTATTCCAGAATCCTTTCTGTTGGGCTACTGTGCCTTGATTCCTCACCATGTGACTGTTAGCTTAGGGACTGGTATATAATTTTCAAAATGCTGTGGAAGAAAAGCACTGTTTATCAAAGTGTGGGGTTTTCATTAATAACAAGTTACAAATTCCTTGGGTACAACTGCAAAGAAAATCCTCTTGATTTCAGACCTGGTCCAGAAACCAATTGCAGTTAGAACTTCATTGATTTATAGATGCCATAATTTCATAAAAATACGTGCCTGTCCTTGCTACTCAGTTTTGTAGCAGGGTGCTGGCAGTAAGGGCTCCTATTACAAAGGCCTCAATCCTTTAAAAAAAATAAAAATCATTTTTACCATTTTAATAGCAAGATGCATTATAATTCTGTTGTCGTTGATGGGGAGAGGAATGATATGATTGATTTTTGTGATGCAGTACCCCTGCTTTTCGAAAGTGCTTAGTTAGTTATTTATTTGCAAAGTAGACTTGTTCTCGCTGTCTTCCTGTCGGTAGTTTGAGTTAGGTTTTGATGTAGTGTCTGGTTTGGGGCTTTTTTGTTTTGTGGGGGAGATGGGGTTCTTTGTTCTTTGCAACAAAATACCAGTGCATGGTGTTTTTTAGGTTCACATTTTCTTTCTTGTTTGGAATCAGAGCCTTGAAATAGGCCGTTTAAAAGGATCGGAGTAAAGGCTAGATTGAGTCAGTGTGTTGAGTCAGACTTTCCATGTTTGTGAGTTGATAGTAGTAATTGATCACACTTCCTAGATGGAAAAACATATTTTAGATAATTACGACATCTCAGGGGTTCCTTATATACAAAATAAATTGATTTTCTTTATAAATAAATATTCGTGCACATACCTTATATGGCATAAGATTTTCTGGATTTGAAAACCTGCTTCCCCCTCAGCTCAGCCAGGCGATTGCATTAAACATAAGGACGGGCCAAGGAGGAATAGAATTCGTGCCCAAGGAACGTTGCTGACCGAGACGGTAGCACAGAGGTTGCCACCTCCACTACCCAAAGCTGGGTGGTAGAGGGAGTTACTATTCTCTCAAGCTTTATTTCCATCAGGATCAATGATAGGTAGGACTTACTTAAATCGTGGTGGGACTAAACAATTTTCACTGGTTGGTCGTGGTATAAAGAACAAATTTTGGGGATGTTTCCCGGATGTGCTCTGCTGGCCCCACTCACAGTGCTGATTGGTGGAGAGGCCCTGGCAGGACAGGAGGGATGCCATCTTGTCTGCTGGCTGCCCTTTGTGCAGCCCCACCCCTTGGCACTGATCGGCCCCAGCCAATCTCGTCTACTGCCCTTCGTGTGGCCCCGCCAGCCAGTGCCTTTTCCCTACCATTGGGTCGGCTGTGAAGCCAGGCCACAGCAGTGAGGACTGTTGGCTCTCACTGGGGAGTCAGCATTTTATTTTATTTGAAGTTGGCTTGGTGGACAATCCTGGATTTCATGGTTTCTGCAAAATCATGAATGGAGTTAAACCCCTAATGATAGCTCTGGTCATGTACACACACGTGTGTGGGAGTGTACACACACGTGTGTGCCTGTGTGTTGATACACAGGGGAGAAGTGGTGAGGAAGAGTAGGGCATATGCTAGAAATTTTGCACTGACATAAGGCAGCCAAAACAACGTGGTAAACCGGGCCTTCAAATTGACAATGATTACAACTGATGTTCTGAAGCTGTTTCATTTGGTGAAATTCCCTTTGGTCTCTTAGCTACTTCTTATATGTGAAAAAATCTTAAAACAGGGGCAGCACATATCAATTTTAGTGTAAAATCATGGAGAATGCATGCTTTTAAGGCGGGAAAAGCTGATCTGTTAAACTGAGCTGCCTTGAGATTTTTTTCATCATCAACCTCATACTAGCTAGTAGAAGTGGATTGCATTGTTTAGAAATATGTTTAAGTTTCAGAAAAATGACTTCAAGTGACTGAAAAATGAGTTCTGTAACTGTTCATTGTTAACCCTCGGTGTATAAAAATCTGTTGCTTATTTCTAATGTTACAGGGGTGTAGGTTGTAGCCATGTTGGTTTAAGTTGGTCTAATAAAAGATAACAGATTAACCCAAAGAACCTTGTCTGCTTATTTCTAAGGTGAAATTGATCTGCCTTCTGCCTCTTAGGACACTGAATTTTCTTCTGTCTTTGCTAGATTAAGAAAAATCAGAATGCTTTTCTTCAGTGGATGGTGGTTTTTAAAGACCACAGTCAAGTTGCTTCTCAGCCTTTTCTTTAGCTTGGTTTATTAACCTTATCAACAAACCTAGCTCCTTCACTCTTTTACTGTGAGGCCCATTTTTATCCAGTTCTTTTCTGAATCCTATTAGTTGACATTTCTTTTGAAGTGTGAACACTAGCACACGTACAGTAGGCAGTTGTTTCTTTAGCACCATATTTTTTTCTATATATGGTCTTAACCTCCATGTATCTCATAGTCTTTGAAGGCCAGGTCCAAAAAGGGGTCTCTGGAATCGAGCTAACTACCAGTTATGTGCCTATACTCCCCCATGCAGTGCTACTTACTTGACATCTGCTCTCTGCTATTGAGATACAGGTCACTGGGCTAGACAGATCTTTGGTCTGACCCAGGATAACATTTCTTATGTTCTTATTCTTGGGGAGAGTTAAGCTAGCACCTAAGAAACGAGATAAAAAAATGCTTTCGTGTGTGATCAGGAGTTGTCTACAGGTAATCGACAAGAAATGCTGAATGAAGGCCTACCCTTCCCCAGCATGAGTGCTTCAAGCTGAGAACGGCTGGGTCTCCAGTAAGAGCTATAAATGTCAGGCTATTATGTAAAAGATTGACATTGCCCAGGTTCAGCTGCTATGTTAAGGCTCTTTTTGATTCACAGGTTTTGGACACCACTGCCCAAAGTCCTGTTTTAGGTGCTTAAAGCCTTTTATTGGATCTAAGCTCTGAGCATGTTCCAGTAGTCCATTAAACACCACGATCAATGTGTCAGGCACTTACTTTCATCCTTTTCTCAGCGAGTGTGGCATGTCTTGCTTCACTAGGATTTTTGAGGTTTGGTTTGTTTTTAAAAACTCTTGCTTTGCATGTCCGTCGGCAAAGGGACAGGCCAAAAGAGCAGCACTGGGTTAATCTGCTTCAGGCAGACCCTAGAGCCTGCCTCATGCTCCAAGTGAGGTAGTCCTAGGGCTGTAGAGCTCCCTCTTCTTGGGTCCAAAACAAACCACTTGTCTTTGTGTGCCCAAGAAGACAGACCTAGGGATATGAGAGCAGCACAGCCTCTTCTTCCTGAACGGCTGCAACAGCTACTTCGCAGCTAGCCCCCAACAGCAGACATGGGATAATCTGCCGCCATGAAATCTGTCTCAAGCTTTTCAAAACAGGAACTGCCAATAATAACGTTAAAGCAAGCCATTGCAATGCCAGCTAGTTTTTTGATCCACTTAAATGCCCAACCCTCTTAGACTCACTGACCATCGCGGAGCTCAGATTCGGGATGTCACAGCGATGATCCCGGACCTCATCCAGCCCTCTGATTGCTACCCCTTGGTCCTCATCCATGTGGGCACTAATGACGCAGCCGGGAGTAGTTTGGACCATGTCATGAAAGGCTACAAGGCTCTGGGGGCCAAGCTTAGGGAAATGGGAGCACAGGTGGTTTTTTTCATCTGTTCTTCTGGTGAGCAGGCATGGATGGCACCACAAGGCCTGCATCGGAGAGGTCAACCAGCAGCTTCGGAGCTGGTGTTACCGGGCGGGCTTCGGATTCTTCAACCATGACCCACACTTCCGCACAGGAGACATGCTAGGGAGAGACGGGCTACATCTCTCTCCGAAAGGTAAGTGTGTTTTCTCTTCCAGGTTGGCTGATCTTATACAGCGAGCTTTAAACTAAGTTCGTTGGGGGATGGGGATGCAGAGGTACAGGAGGACACTTAGACATCAAGCCAGGTGACGTGAGCAGGAACAACCCAGTAAGTGACAAGGGCCCAGGCAAGCTTGGGAACAAGAGGGCAGCATGAGCACCCATAGGAGCTCTCAATTGCCTCTACACAAATGCTAGAAGTATGCATCCTCAATGATCAGGATGGGGTCAGAGGAGGGGCAAACTGAGGCGCTCTGGGTTAGAATGCAAGGGGGTCGCGGGGCAAGGGACTCGATAGTGGACGTCTACTACAGACCGCCTCACCAGGGCCATGAGCTGGACCTGGAATTGTCAGGTCAGCCCATGGAAGCTGTTAAGACCAAGGGATGTGGTTGTCATGGGTGACCTAAACTACCCAGACATCTGCTGGGAGGAGCAGCCAGCCAGGTCTGAACGCTCATGTAGGTTTTTAGCCTGCATACAGGACCTCCACCTAACCCAGGAGGTACATAATCCCACCAGAGGAAATGCCTTGCTGGACTTGGTCCTTGCCACAGGCGATGACCTGGTGAGGGATCTGCAGGTACTCAACTACCTAGACGTTAGTGACCATCCTCTGCTGGAATTTACTATCCGGTACAGGGTGGTGAAAGCAAGCAGTAAGGCACAAGTCCTTGACTTCAGGAGGGCCGACGTCAATGAGCTAACGAGTTTAGTAAGAGAGACATTGAGGACTTGGAGCTTCAGTGAGATGGGAGTCCAGGACAGGTGGTTGTTCCTTAAGGAGATGATCCTCCGAGCTCAGAGGGAGTCAGTCCCAACGCAAACCAAAGGGGGCAAGAGTGTGAAAAAGCCCCCTTGGCTAGTAAGGCATCCAGGAGGGCCTGAGGGCAAAAAAGGTGGCATACAATCAGTGGAAGCAAGGGGCTATCACCAAGGAGGATTACACCTCTGTTGCTCATGATTGCAAGGAAGCAGTTAGGAAGGCCAAAGCAGAGATAGAACTAGGGCTGGCAACCAGAATTAAGGATAACAAAAAGTCCTTTTTCAAATACATAGGGCGTAAGAAGGCGGCACCAGGTATTATGGGGCCCCTACAGGGCAGGCGTGACAAGCTGGTGATTGCAGCAATGAAAAAAGCTGATCTCTTCAATGAGTTCTTTGCCACCATATTTCTGAGCAGGAACCGGGACAGGTCCCCCACTAGGATTACGGACAGGCTCAGGGACAATCTAGTAAAGGAACGCTTAGAGGAGCTGGACATGTATAAATCAGCAGGTCTGGATATTCTTCATCCAAGGGTACTGAGGGAATTGGCGGAGGTTATAGCAGGGCCTCTGGCACGGTTGTATGAGTGCTCGTGGTGCTCTGGCCAGGTCCCAGAGGACTGGAAAAGGGTCAATGTGGTCCCCATTTATAAGAAGGGGAAAAAGGAGGACCCAGATGACTATAGGCCAGTTAGTTTCACCTTGGTCCTTGGGAAGACCTTTGAGAAAATTATCAAGGACCACATCTGCAGGGGCCCAGCATGGGAGGTAATGCTCAGGGGCAACCAACGTGGGTTCACTGCAGGCAGATCCTGCCCGATTAACCTTGCTTCCTTTTACGACCAGGTCACAAAGTCCTTGGATGCGGGCACCGAGATGGACATCATATACCTGGACTTCAAGAAGGCCTTTGACACGGTTTCTCACCCCAGTCTCATAAAAAAAAAACGAGGCGATTGCGGCATTGATGCCTACACAGTCAGATGGGTGGCTCGATGGTCGCACCCAGACAGCGGTGGTGGACAGGTCATTTGCAACCTGGAGGGATGCGGGCGGTAGAGTTCCCCAGGGCTTGGTCCTCGGGCCTGTCCTATTCAACATCTTTATCAGCGACTTGGATGTGGGCATGAAAGCACGCTGTCCAGATTTGCTGACGACACAAAGATGTGGGGAGAAGTGGGCACGCTAGAGGGGAGGGACAAAATCTAATTAACCTTGAGAGGGTCCAGAGGAGGGCCACTCACATGGTCAGGTTTTCAAGGAAATTAGGGTTATAAACTATAAGTGGGAAATACTTACTGTATGGGCAAGTTTTGCTGGTTACCAGGTAAAGCTAAAAATTTGCAGTGATCCACAGGGAGCAGAACAATGAGCAGGCTCAGCTCCCTAGTTGCTACTAGAGTTACTACAATGAAAGATTTTTTTCCTTTGTTCTGCCTTTAAAAAAACAATTGTTTTCTATGTTCCAGGGTGTGTGGTATCCAGCTATGGAAATGGGGATGACAGTACTGTACATAGAATTATAAACAAAGGCAAACCATCACTTTGAGAGTGCCATTATAATCTTGTCTGTATTTATCAGCCCATATCTTCAGTATCTTAATATTCTGCTTTTTGCCTGCAGCTGCACACATTGAGCAAGAAGCCCTAATCTGTGGGAGTGATGACTCAACCCACACTTATTTAAGAACTCTGAAGTGTGTACAAGTAATTCACATGTTCCCTCTCTTATAGATTAACACAACAGCAAATAAATTATGTGCAAAGCTTTGATAAATTGATTTAAGGCGCCTCACAGTTCTAAATGCGTAACTTCAAGTCATCGGCCAAATGACACCTAGCTCAACCTCCCTTTTGAAATTACTTATACATTTTATACATTAAAACAAAGGGTCTATTACAGGATATAAAAACTATGATGTTAACATTGTGCCACCATGAAAAATGATCAATTCACCCACTTTTCTTTCCCTTCCCCAAGTCTCTTCTTGATCCATAGCATCACTCAGCTTTCCACCCAACTTAGTCTACATAGAAGTGTGAAGTAAGTTGGGACAAATCAAGTAGAGATGTGACATCAGTACTACCTCCTCAGAAGTACACATACTCTGAGACTTTAGGATTGTTCCATTATGCCTAAGCAGTCTGAAGACTTTCCTTCCTCTTTGGTCCATATTCCATGAATCCTATGCAACTTTAATGTCTTTGAAGCAGGCTATTTTCTAGCATCTCCCTTAAGTTCCTGTATTTTTCCCACCACTTATTACAAGGTGGTCACTTCTTTAGTAACTCAGTTACTGTTACTTTCTGACCAACATCCTGGAGCCAAGAACTGCCCCCTTTTGTGTACTCCAGCACTCTTGGCCTGGAGGAACTTCTAGTCTAAACATGAATCTAGATAAGTGCAGATAAGGATTGGTGAAGTCTCCAATTTTGGCCATTACCAAAGTTTTCTGTGCTCATTGTCTTGCTTCTGTACAAGACCTCTGTTGGGCTTGTAGACATTGTTGGAGTCTGGGCCATCCCTGGAAGAAGCTATCCTTTCACTCCTTCCAGAAGACAGTGCAGAGCAGGGCTTCTTGGTACACAAAGGCCCCACTCTGATTCTCAAACAGAGTGTTAGGTGTACAGATCCCATAATATAAACCCAGAGATTTAAAACAGAAATTTATAGCATCAAAATTATTAGCATTATTGATCTGGTGTAGTCGGCAACAAAGCAATGGCTCTATTCTTTTTCTGTAGTCAAAAACTGAGTGAATGTTAAGAGCTAGCAATTTCCAAGAGATGCCTTGAGTCTAAAAAGGTTAAGAACCATTGGATTAGTATAATCTTCACCAGGAACCTGACAAAACGAGACAGAGGCTCCTAGCAAGACAATAACTATTGACCTTTTTATTTCAATGGGCTACAGCAGCTCTACATTCCCCTAAAATACTGTCCTTCCTTTACTACCACAGATGGCCCTGGAGCCAGGTACACTGAAGTGGCAGCAAGTCTCTTTAAAGCTTAGTATTAAATATTAAATATTCTCTCATTTAAGTTTACATTGCTTTATCAAGAAAAAGACAATTAAAACTTAAGTTACATGAATCTGTGTACACCATTGCCAGGCATTAGCATTATGGGCTTCCAGACAATCGCCAAGGCAGCTCTGCTGCTATGGATACGCAGAATATCCAGAACTTGAACTGATAACACATGACTTTAGTCTCTCCAGAAGTGGTCTAAAAATGAGGCTACTTTGCTAAGATAGGGAGCAGGTTATCTGCACCCTTTGCTTCCAGAAATAAAAATTCCTGAAAAGGTAAGAAAAATCCTAATGCGGTTAAAACACTGTCTGGAGAAGATGGTTTCTCTTTTTCCTCCAGAAGGGATGACTAATGGTCGAGCTTGTTTCTTCCCACTGGACACCACTGGCAATCCCAACAAATCATTCGGAGGGTATGCAAAGACTTGGTCATTACGGATGTTGCTAATGAATTTTTCTTTTTAAAAAACTCCAAACGGTTTAGAGTCTTCCTTTGATTTTAGCAAAGACGTAGTTTAAAAAGCACTTAGGAAGCTTGTACTAAAATCATTAGACGCTCTCACAGGAGAGAGTCGTCTGTACATCCCCCTTCAAGTCCGTAGCGAAATTCTTGCAAGTTTGAGACCCCATAGAAGTGGACAAAGGCAGCAGCCACCACGAGCACATGGAAGATCTGATGCGACTGGAACTGAAGGGAAAGCAAAAAAAGTTAGACCAACAAGAAGGCAAAGAACCAACCACATGAGATGGGCTGTCTTTTGGGGTGAACTGTCCTGATGACCTATGTATTGTAGCACCAGAGCCAAGGGTTATGGGTCAAGGTTTCATCTGAGGCCTCCTTGCAATAGACCCTTTGGTCTCTAAGCAGGGTGATGTGGGATACTTACCTATAGCCTCCAAGGAAGAGATCTGTGAAAGAAGTTCTCTGGACCAGTCAAATAAAACTCTCCTCTCTTATTAATACTGTTTCCCCTCAGACCTTTTGGGATTTTAGGATTGTTTAGGATTTTTGTGGTCATTGTTGTTGTTTATTGCTTGTTTGGTGCGGTTTCATTAAGTGTTTAATTATTCCACTTGTTATTAACAATTAGAGTGTTTTAAGTGTTTAGTGTGCACTTAATAAACTAGCTGTTTGTCTAAGGTCAATTCTCTTAGTTATTTATTTAATACACGCGGCGATTAGATGCACTTTGGGCAAAGAACCACCCCACCTTTCAGAGGGTTAGTTGACAGAGAGCAGCTGTTTGCGTGGGCTCAAATAATTAGAGATTAAATTGACAATTAACCCCCAACAGCTCTAGCCATTACTGACAGGGTAAGTTGTGCACAAGGGAAATGGCCCCCCTCAAATGGATTCTCCCATAATCTCTAACATTGGGCTACTTCACTCTCTTACTGGAGATAACACTGGGATACTGAAACATTTCTCCACCACCACAAGCAGAACTAGACAATGAAATGTTAGCTGCGGGAAATATCAGCTGCCTTCTAGGTGGGACTGGGTGCAACAGTTCAGTCCATCTGAAATTATCCCCCAACCAGCAGCTGAGGTCAGCAGGAAGGAAGCTACCAGATTTTAGCTTTCCATCCATATACAAGCTATGGCCAAGATCTAAACGAATTACCATTACCATACTGGCAGAGGAGCCCAAATGGCTTAAGGCTGCAGGGCCACTGGATAGGAAAGAGGAACAGGCCTGACAAAGGGCATTTATACCCAAAAGCTTGCAAAGAAAAATTTTCCAACTATCTGAGTTGGTCTAAAAGATATCAGATTTACCCAAAGAATCTGCTTATGCCCTTAGACCAACACGGCTACAGCCTACACGCAGGTAGCCCCCCAGGGCACTTATGGCTTCCCAGATGAAACCAAAAGGGACATTACTATTGCACATGAACTCCCCATGGTAACTGAGGCAAAGGAAAGAAAAACTCCAGCTTCAAAGTGAATAAAGCAAAGGGACTAATGGGAAGTGGGGCTGGAAAGTTTTGCATTCATAATGGCATTGGTTGTTGATCCCTGGACCATACAAATCCCCAAAACCAAATGCTGCAGGGTGACTGAAGGAGGTAGGCAGCCCTGCAAGCCGGCCCTGTACTTGAGTGACAGTTGGATGAATCGGTTTTCTCTCCCCTCACCTCTTCCTCTGCTGTTTACACCTAGCCCCTGCCCAGCAAGAACACACCCTCGAACTGTCCCATCCTTCACCATTCGCTCCAAAGGAGTTGGTGTTACAGAACATGGAGCTTCTTGTCCCCATACAGCTCCAAGGCAGGACTTTATGGTCTAGTCCCACCTCTCCTGACTATCAGCTCTACTGGCTTGATACAATGAGGGTCTTTTCAGGGCATTAAGGCTTTTCTTGGTACAATGTTGGATAGAGGAAAAACTTTCTAGCAGGCCAGATGGAACAGCCTGCTCCTTGGTAGTGACTGCTGCCCAGCTGTTGTACCTTTGGCTGACAGCAAGTTATCTTCCAGTCCATGCCAATACCACTTCCCACACACAGAAGGCACCCTGCAGTCTCAGAGGGCCATAGATCCCACAGTGACATAGCCATAACCTCTTTGTGTGACTGAACAAAAGCACCAAGCAGCTCCAACCCTTATTTATCCACCTTTTTTTATTTCTCAGCCAGATCCTAGGATTCAGAGAATAACTCTCCTCCCATCAAGCCCATGGCTGGAATTTGCAGTGCTCTCCTTTGACTGACTCATCTCATTGTTTATGCAACTCTCATGTTCCCTTTACCTGCATCACTCTGCTCACAAGCTAGTCTGCCTCTTGGGCCCTTCCACATATTCTGGTGAAATCTGTACTTACCCAGATGTCAAATTTGCCAGGAAAGAAGCGCTCTGGAATGCGGGCAGCATACAGCCCTGCTCCAGTGATGTACATCACGGCCATGAGGAAGAACCAGCCCATCTGGCCCACGGTGGTTGCTTTTACAAACCCTTCTGCTATGGTGAAGTGCATGGTAGGCACAACGCCACTGAGCCCCAGCCCCAAAAACACTCCTGGGGAGACAAGAGACACATGGAAAATACTCAGCCTTTGCTCAAAATAGAGCCAGAGGGAATATGGCCCCAGGTCTGCCACACTACTCCCAGGACCACCAAATGCAAGGTTCCTGCACCCAAGCTCAGTATGGGGCATCTCTGCCCTGTCATCATACCTCAAAGCTGTTCTAGGAAAGGTTCCCTTCTGGGTGAACCAACATATTAGAGCCCGTGCACCAGCGTAAGGACCTGGGTAGATCATGTAGATCTATCTTGCTGCCCACCCCCTCCTTCCCAGCACAGACTATAAAAGATGAAATTTCAACGTGGGCACCTGTCTACCAAGAACCTGGACTAAGCCTGGACTTCTCATAAATCTGCCAATAGTCAAATGGGAACTACTGTGGAAAATATTGAACTATGATACAAATTCAAGAACCATTACTTTCGGTGTTCTAGTCCCACCTCTGTCCAATCCACAATTCACTGAGCCACCCATTGAATATTCTTCTGCATGGAAAATACTCTGCTGCTAGAGCTGACAGAATGCACCTCACACCCAGCCGCAGGCAGCAGACTTCATCCATTCACAGTTCTGAGAAATAGCCTTTTATTCCCAAGACCAAATGGGGACTTCTTTTAATATTTCAGCCAAGTCCTGTCAGCTGATTTTGAATTATGCAAAGAGAAAACTTCCCATACTTTTCATTCAGGACTGCAGGCAGTCCACAGGCCAGTTTGTGGGTAGTAGCATAGCCTATTACCATACAATGGTGGGGACGCATTGTACCCTGTGGCTTCCCACCTCAGCCCCAACTGGTACTCCCTTCCCTTGCACCACTGAGGCCTCCACCCAGACGGAGCCCCTGGAACCAGGCTTGGGGGCTGCCTGGCACAGCTGCCAGCAACTGGTAATGGGAGCAAGGTCACCCCCACTGTGGGGTATGCTCCTTAGTGAGGTCCCTGGAGTCCCAGGTGACTGAGCTCCAGGCCCAGGTAGGCAAATTCCATGCCATCAGGGCCCATGAGCAGGAGATTGACGATTACTAGAGTCAGGCTCTTCTCCTGAAGAATAAAGAAGAGAAGAAGATAGAGGAGAAGGTGGCCAACAAGAAGGCTGGCTGAAAAGACCCACCTGGAGCTACCTGGAAGATGGCAGGTCTCAGGCTCCAAAACATGCAGGGCTAGGGCTGCTCCTCCCCTGGTATTGTACAACAGGTATGCTCCCCTCACCACGCATGAGGAGGCTCCAATGGAGACACTGGAGGAGGAGGTGGGTAGTCAGAGAACTGTCACCCCCAAGAGGAGACGCAAGGTGGTGGTGGGGAATCCCTCCTGCGGGGCACCGCTGGAGCCATCTGCCATCTGAACCCCCTAGCCCGAGAGGTCTGCTGCCTCCCTGGGGCCCGCATCCAGGATGTTGCGGAGAGAATCCCTAGGCTCGTCCGGCCCTTCAACCACTTCCCCATGCTACTTGTCCACATGGGCATGAATGACATGGCCAGAAGTAATCTGGACCGGGTCATGAGTGACTACAGGGCTCTGGGGGCTGGGCTTCAAGGGGTCAGGGGCACAGGTAGTCTTGTCCTCTGTGCTCCTGGTTGCGGGCCATGGACCTAGGAGGGAAGGATGAGTCAAAGTGGGACACCTCCAGTGGTGGTGCTACCAAGAGGGCTTTGGTTTCTTCAACCACAGTGCACACTTCAGGGAAAAAGGACTCCTGGGAAGGGACGGCATCCACCTCATGCAGAGGGGTAAGTCCCTATTCTCAGCCAGAATGGCCGATCTTCTAGATAGGGCTTTAAACTAAGATCACCAGGGGATGGGGAAACACTGACTGGAGCATGCCCAGGGACTGGCACACAAGAAAGCTCTGAAGCTGGGGACACTAGGAGAGCCACTCTTGCAAGAGCTGAGGGAATGGATCTCCCGCAGTGTGACAGGGAATCGAGGGTCTCAATTGGAGGACTCAGGTGCCTGTACACTAATGCCAGGAGCATGGGGAACAAACAGGAGGAGCTAGCCCTCCTACTCTCCAGTGGGCATTATGATCTAGTAGGGATTACGGAGTCCTCACATGACTAGAGCATAGCCATAGAGGGCTACACCCTGCACAGAGGAGACATAGTAGGGAAGAAAGGTGGAGGTGTAGCTCTATGTGAAAGAGCAGTACACCTCCTAGGAGGTCAACATCAGCTCCTAAGAAGAGCGGCCCGAAACCATCTGGGTCAAACTTCAGGGGGAGGGGAAGGGCAGTGAGACAGACCTAACTGTAGGAACATACTACAGACGCTAAACCAGGGGGAGAAGCTTTATCTGGAGTTCTCTCAAGAACTGGCAGAGGCTGCGCGTGCACGGGACATGGTCATAATGGGCGACTTCAAGTTACCCAGACATCTCTTGGGAGCAACACTCAGCTAAATCAGATTGTCATGCTCAGGGGAGGTCCCTGAAGACTGGAAGAGGGCCAATATTGTGCCAATCTTCAAGAAGGGGATGAGAGAGGACCTGGGCAACTATAAGCCAATTAGCCTAACTTCTATCCCAGGGAAAATCCTAGAAAAATTCATCAAGGAGTCTACGTGTGATACACTTGCAGAAGGCAGGATTCTGAACGACAGCCAGCATGGCTTTGTTGTGGGCAGGTCTTGTATTACCAATCTCATCTCCTTCTACGACCAAGTAACTTGCCACCTGGATAAGAGAGAGGAGGTCGACATTGTATACCTAGACTTCCAAAAGGCCTTTGATCCCACTCTCACGGGAAAATTAGAGGATTGTGGGCTTAACTGCTCGACAGTTAGGTGGGTAAGAAGCTGGTTGCAAGGTAGGACCCAGAGAGTTCTCCTGAACGGATCTGTATTGTCCTGGCGAGAAGTGGCCAGTGGTGTCCCTCAGGGGTCTGTGCTCGGTCCAGTACTTTTCAACATCTTTAATCAATGATTTGGATGTTGGAGTGAAGAGCTCACTGGCCAAGTTCGTGGACGACACCAAGTTATGGGGAAGCGTGGTCATGCTTGAAGATAGGCTACAGATACAGGCAGATCTAGAGAGGCTAGCAAGTTGGGCGGATCAGAACCAAATGAAATTCAACACTCAGAAGTGTAAAGTGCTCCATCTGGGGAAGACCAATCCCCAACATACTTCCAGGCTCAGTGGTGCCAAACTGACTGGCACTATGACTGAAAGGGACCTAGGAGTAATAATAGACCATAGTATGAACATGAGCCATCAATTCGATGCTATAGCCAGCAGGGCAAACAATACTCTGGCATGCATCAACCGATGCATCTCAAGCAAAACCAAGGAAGTGATTCTTCCACTTCACTCAGCATTGGTGAGACCACAACTGGAGTACTGCATCCAGTTCTGGGTGCCGCACTTCAACAAGGATGTGGAAAAGCTTGAGAGAGTCCAGAGAAGAGCCAACCGTATGATCAGAGACTTGCAAGGCAAGCCATACGAGGATAGGCTGAGGGACTTGGGTCTCTTCAGCCTAAAAAAGAGAAGGCGGAGAGGGAACTTGGTAGCAGCTTACTGCTATATCAGGGAAATACATCAAGGGCTCAGCGAACAATTGTTCACCAGGGCACCCTTGGAGAAAACCAGGAGTAATGGCTACAAACCTCTGGAAGACCATTTCAGGCTTAACACTAAGAAAAGCTTCTTCACAGTTAGGGCGTTCAGACCATGGAATAAACTCCTTTCAGAGGTGGCGCAATCACCTACCCTGGTAATCTTCAAGAGGAGACTGGACGGTCACCTAACTGGGATCACCTGACCCCAGTTGTCTTTCCTGCCTAGTGCAGAGGGGGCTGGACCCAATGATCTTGCAAGGTCCTTTCCAGTCCCTTACAATCTATGAACCTTTTGTAGTGGGGACCTTAAGAACAACAGCTCAAATGATTTGACAGGTAAGTTTTGCCTAGAGAGG